GAGCGGACAAACAGCTGATCAGCTGTTTGTCGGCTCAGCGCGGCAGCCATGTAAATTTAAATGAAGCCACGATCATTTAAATCGCGGCTTCATTTGCCTTTGCCAAAAAAAAAAATCTACATGGCTCCATCGATGGAGCTATGTAGTTTAGACGTACCCAGAGAGGCCTCCAAAGCAGTAGGTGTTGTACAGACACAGGGCATAAAGGCACTTACAACCTAACCCAGATCCCACCTTACTTCTCTTAGCCTTGGTCTACACTAGGGCTTTATTTCAAAATAACCCCTTTTAGGTCAAATTTACAAGCGGCGCGTCCACACTACCAAGCCCATTGTTTCAAAATAACAGGCTGCTTCATTCAAAATCTGTACTCCTGTTTTCCTCAGGGACTAACGCTAATTTCAAAATAGTTGTTTTGAAATAGCGTGTAGTCAACCTGTGGAACTCCTTGCCAGAGGATGCTCTGGTGCTGCTATTTTGAATAACTACTCCCCAGAAGCTTCAGAGGGGTAGCCGAGTTCGTCTGTAACAGGAAAAACTTAATAAACAACAAATAGTCTGGTAGCACTTTAAAGACTCACAAAACATGTAGATGGGATCATGAGCTTTTGTGGGCACAGCCCACTTCTTCAGATGTCCCCAGAGCCATTCAAACTAATTACTCCCCAGTGCTTCCTGGGGCTCTAAGTCGAGGCAGGGTGCTCACATTAATGGCACCTGTCTCGGACTCATTTCAAGATTTCCCCATAACGAGGACACGCTCTTTCAATTGTGTTATTTCGGGAGTTCTTAAATCGATTTCCGTTATTTCGACATCGTTTCCCAGCGTAGACAAGCCCTTTGTAATACGTCTCTGCTAAAGCTAATGTTTGACATCCACATGCCTATGGTGCACAGATGAAGAGGGAAGGCTCTGCAGATATCTAGCATTGGCCCAGATTTAGGTGTGCCAGTGTTTAGGCAGGAGGGAATAAGTGTTTGGGAAGTTTTACACAGTTGGTCGTGGTAAGCGGATGCTACAGGGGTCAGGGAGAGCAATGAGGGGGGTGTGGCTCCATGCTCCTGGAAGGGGTGGAGCCTTGGATGGAAGGGGTGGGGCTAGGGGCTGGACCACACCACGTCCCCTCTTCGCTGCCAGACCTCTGAGCCGCCCAGAGAACACGGCGCAGGGTTCTTCAGCACAGTGTATGGTGCTTCAGCAGTGATTTAAAGGGCCTAGGGTTCTTGTCCCAACAGTAGCCAGGAACCCGGGGCCCTTTAGAATCTCTGGGACCTGAAGCAATGGCCCCATTTGCCCCCCACTTTGACAGTCCTCCCATGGGTAGGAATTGCCCCTCTGTCCATATCTGGGATAGGCTCAATCATCACCAAGTGCCAGAGCTTTGTCTGGCCACTAGAGGTCGGCCTAAGCCCAGTCATCAGGAAATCAGTGGCCGTTCCCGCTCCTATCAGACCCAACACCTGGAGATACATTTTTCAAACTCAGGTGGCTGCAGTTCGGCACCCAAACTACAGCCTCCCAAATAAGTGTGCCTGACTCCAGGCTGGGACGGTCTCTCTCTGTGACTGACAGGGCCCTCCCTACCCATAGACCAACTCTGCTGCAGGGGGGTCAGCCCCTCTGAAAACAAGAACACAGAACAGGTCACACTTCCCCGCCCACCCCTCCTTGTATGTTCCCAGGAGCTGGCTTGAAAATCAGGGCCTTGGGGGCCCCTCCGGATACTCAGTGCTTCGAAGACCAGCTCTACTGGGAGGTGAGCCCTTCCGTTTGTTTTCCTTCCCTACAGTAAAAAAGTCGTATGGTCCTTCAAGTAGCAGGGCTGGTCCCTGGGTTTAGTTTGAAGAGCTGTAGCAGACTGGGTGTCATAGAGGGGTTATTCCACTGTTGCACTCAGTGGCTTCTGCCCGGGTGGGCGCCTTGCAACCCTTGGTGCTGCACATGAGACCCAGCCTCTGCCCTAACTAGACAAAAAATGGTCATCTCCGTCTCAGAGGTGGACTGAGGCTCAGAAAGCCAACTTTTCCCAAACACACAGCCACTGCTTCAGCAAAGTCTCCACGGGGAGCACATGAAACCAGAGTCCTGCAGGATGTGCCTGAAGTCACAGAGGAAATTTATGGCATAAGTGGGATTTGAACTCTGGTTTTCTAAGTCCAAGGCAAAGACCAGCATTCTCTGTTAGTTGTGTGCTCATGTGGCCACACAGCAGAGATTCCAATGCTGCCTAGCTGAATAGCAGAGCACCGACAGCTAGGTTTTTGTGTCTCGGAGTGGTGCACATTAACACGTGCCTCGGTGCACATAGAAAAATTTATTCTGCACGTGAATGGGAAAAAATCCATGGAAAAGATTAGTGGCAACATTGCCAGAGACTTAAATGAAAAATCAGGCATGACAGAGATGGTGGCTGGATGCCAGAAAGCTTTAAGTGGGTATGCTCAAGGGACAGGGGCAGGGGGAGAGGGGAAATAGGTGTACTTGTCCTGAAACTGTCACCAACATCCTGCCTAGGACTCACCTTTTCCATAACAAGAAAAGAGTTTCCAGCCAGTGTTCCCTATAAGCTGGATGCTTGGGTGGACTCCCAGGAGAGATTCCAATGCCACAGAGCCGATTAGCAGAGCGCCCAGTGCTGGCAGCCTGTGTTTCTGCTGGTGGTGCACATATGCACATGCCTCAGTGCACAAAACAAAATTTATTCCATGCATGTACATGGGAAAAAATACCGGGAACATTGGTTACCATCACTGCTTGGATTCATGTCTCACAGCCAGCGTGTCCCTTCCACACAAGGTTTCTGATGCTCCCCAATTGCTCTGAGCAGGGAAATTCTCAGGGTCACCCTGTGTCTCTGGTTGCATCCAGGTCCCTGAGAATCATCACGATGGATACTTGCCGGCTGCAAATCCTGAGGACCCAGAGAGGAGCGCAAGCATCTAATGGGATTTCCTTCTCTAGCAAGGCTCTGCGTTGGCACCACCTGATTTAAGCCATCCAGTATGCGGGGAGATTTCCCAGACTGGAAGGGGTCTTAGTGTAGACTTAGTCTGAGAGTAGCCTGAGTTTTGGGCAGAGATGTAGTTAGTGACCGGAAGAAGGAAACCGGGTTTGGGTCTCCACCCCATCTCATCTCCTCTCGCAAGGTGCATTATAGCTGCCTTCCCATGTATATTCCTTCTGGGACAGGACGGTCCCTGCCCATCCACCCTGTGCCTGGAACACAAAGCGAAGGGAAGCCCGGATCAATGTTCCCACCCTCACCCCCATTCCGTCTCACTCGCTGTCCAGGCTCCTTCCGAGAGAAGAGGAAGGCGAGGCAGGTCAGAGGCTAGACTGAGAAATCTGGATTCAGTGGGTAGCTTGGACAGACACCCAATGTGGGACCAGGCCAGCCCTTCAAGGCTGATGAACACTACACACCAGCATCCCTGAAGTCTTGCAGCCTGGGTGGATTGTTCTTACTTCAGTTTAACAGCAGCTGATCTCACAACTGTTCCTAATTGGTGTAAGTGAAATCCACGAAAAGCGTGCCAGCTGAAATGAACGTGCCCACCCAGCCGTGGGCACTGGGATAAAAACCACAGCTTGGGTTCAACCAGAGTAGCTCTGCCCCTCATCCCTCTGGTCCCCTGTTTCCCTTAGACTCCTAGGCTGCGTCTAGACTGGCATGATTTTCTGCCAATGCTTTTAACGGAAAAGTTTTTCCGTTAAAAGCATTTGTGGAAAAGAGCATCTAGATTGGCACGGACGCTTTTGCACAAAAGCACTTTTTGCGGATAAGCGTCCGTGCCAATCTAGATGCGGTTTTGCACAAGAGGGCATTTGCACAAGAGGGCTTTTTCCTGAGCGGGAGCAGCATAGTATTTGCGCAAGAACACTGACAATCTTACATGAGATCGTCAGTGCTCTTGCGCAAATTCAAGTGGCCAGTGTAGATAGCTGGCAAGTTTTTCTTTGCGGAAAAACTTGCCAGTCTAGACGCAGCCCTAGGGTTGGAAGAGACTTCAGGAGGTCAAGTCCAACCCCCTGCTCAAAGCAGGACCAACCCCAACTAAACTAATTCAGCCAGGGCTTTGTCAAGCTGGGACTTAAACACCTCTAGGGATAGAGATTCAATTCCCTCCCTAGGGAACCCAGCCCAGTGCTTCCCCCCGTCTAGGGAAATAGTTTTTCCTAATATCCAACCTAGACCTCCCCCACTGCTACGTGAGACCATTGCTCCTCGTTCTGCCATCTGCCACCATGGAGAACAGCCTCTCTCCATCCTTTTTGGAACCCTCCTTCAGGTAGCTGAAGGCTGCTTTCAAATCCCCCCTCACTCTTCTCTTCTGCAGACTAAATAAGTCCAAATTCCTGCAGCCTCTGCTCATAGGTCATGTGCTCCAGCCCCCTAATCATTTTGGTTGCCTTCCGCTGGACTTTCTCCAATGCGTCCACATCATTTCTGTAAGGGGAGGGGGGCAGAATTAGATTCAGTACTCCAGATGTGATACTCCTTTCTCTGTATTAAAAACGAATCCTTTCTCAGCTGTTTGGAGCCCCAGGCAGGAACTGTTTCTCCCTATGTGACGGTCAGGGCTGTCCCTACTGATACACATATTATGCAGCTGCATGGGGCATCAAGAAATTCAGGACACCAAATTGCCCCACATTTCATGGCACCCTAGCAGCCGCATAGCGATCCACTGGCCAGCCCAATTCCCTGGCCAATCTGTGTGTTGTTCTGCTCAGTGCAGTGAGGTCCTGATCTCCCACGCTACTGTGAACGTAACCAGTCAGCCATGAAGTCTTGAAAGACAGGTCAAAAACTATATAGAATCATGAGCTTTCATGGGTAAAACCCACTTCCTCAGATGAGTTGGAGTGGAAATAACAGACTCCAAGATATATATAACAGCAAAAACATTTACCTGTCCATTGTAGGACCCTTGTTAATTAAGCTTCTTAAGTAGTCTCAGTGTATCCCATTCATAGCTTTTGATGTGAAAATGTGAATGTCAAAGGCAGGGTAAATTGGCTTTGTAGTGTGTTAACCAGTTAATGTCTTTATTCAAGCCCAGGGTAACAGTGTCAAATTTATGTTCGGCAGTCTCTCTCTGTAATAGGCTGGTGAAATTCCTTTGTAGGAGAATGGCTACTTTTAAATCTATGACTGAGTGCCCAGGGAGGTTAAAATGTTCCCCTACAGCAGTGGTCTCCAACCTTTTTACACCCAAGATCACTTTTTAAATGACAGACCAAGCCAAGATCCAGTGCCCCGCCCCTTCCTTGAAGCCCCGCCCTCTCTCTTCTCCTCCTCTCCATCACTTGCTAACCCCAATCCTTATACTGCTACTTTAAAAAAAATTCCCACCATTCCTCGCAGCTACTCACCTGTGCTGTTGCTCGGTGAGTAGCTGCTCCTCAAATGAGGAAATCTAATGTAAATGTACTGCGCAGGCGCGCAGTTCAGAGAGGGCTCAAGAGCTACTCTTAGAGCCTCCGAGATCTACTGGTAGATTGCGATCTACTGGTTGGTGACCACACCCCTACAGGTTTGATGGGTGTTACCCTTTCTCATGTCTGACTTCTGTCCATTTCTCCTTTGATGCAGAGACTGTTCAGTTCGGCCACTATACATGGCAGAGGGGCATTGCTGGCACTTGGAGGCATGGATCACATTGGAGGATGTGCAGTTGTATGAGCCCCTGATCTTGTGGCTGATGTGGTTAGGTCCTGTGATGGTGTCACTCTTATAGGTGTGCGGACAGAATGGACACACCCGTGCAGTTTACATTACCTTTCCCATGCCAGTGTTTCTCGACTGGCCATATAGGGCTACTGCCGGGAGGAACACAAGCTGGTTTCAGGAGGTCTGCCAAGCTGGGCTGGCATTAGACTTGCTTGGGGCCAGGGTAGAAAGCCAATGCCCCATTGCATGGGGCTGAATTCTAGGGCCCCGAGCCCTGGCATCTGGGGACTAAAGCTGAAGCATGGGCAATTTAGCTTCAAAGCCCCTCCCCCCCCACTACCACCACCACCAGTGGGATGGGGTCCCGGACAACTGCCCTGTTTGTGACGCTCTAATGCTGATCCTGGCTTTTATATGCAGGAAAACTTGCGGCACAAGTGGGCCGTGGAGTTTTTACAGCATGTCAGGGCAGGAGATCGGAAAGAAAAAAGGATGAGACCCCCCCCTGCTATGTGTAGCACCTTCATACTGGTGTAACCGCATCCACACTAGCGGTCCGCATTCTGGGATGCATTAGCCGAAGTGTGGTGAGCAAGACACGAGACGTCATTCTTCCGCTCCACTCTGTGCTGATTAGGCCTCAGCTGGAGTACTGTGTCCAGTTCTGGGCAATGCAATTCCAGAAAGAGGTGGAGAAACTGGAGAGGGTGCAGAAAAGGACAACAAAAGTGATTGAAGTTCTAGTAAACATGACTGATGAGGGAAGACTGAAAGAATTGGGTTTGTTTAGTCTGGAAAAGAGAAGACTGAGAGGGGACATGATAGTGGATTTCAAGTACCTAAAAGGATGTTACTTTTAAGAAGGAGGGAGAAAATTGTTCTCTTTGGCCTCTGAGGACAGGACAAGAAGCAACGGGATTAAATTGCAGCAAGGGAGGTTTAAGTTGGACATTAGGAAATACTTCCTACCTGTCAAGGTGATGAAACACTAGAATAAATTGCCTAGGGAGGTTGTGGAATCTCCATCACTAAAGATATTTAAGAGCAGATTAGACAGGAACCTGTCAGGATGGCCTAGATCACTGTTTCTTAACCTTTATATATATATATATATAGTACCCTTTTAAAAAATTATAAGTACCCCCTTTAAAAAAAATATCTAAGTACCCCCAGTACTTACAGTTTTCAGACACACACTTTTTTTTTCTACCATTGCAACACATTTGTTTAAGCAACGTAATCGTAACTGGGCGGGCGATGAAGTTTTGGGGTATAAAAAGTACAAAAATAATAAAGCTCTGTAAAACTTAAAACAAGAATTCAGTTTTCTCCAAATTTCAGCTGTGTTGACATACCCCACCCCCGACTTCTCTGGAGTGCCCCTGAGGGTACTCGTCCCATTGGTTGAGAAACACTGAGCTAGATGGAGCTTAGTCCTGCCCTGAAAGGTAAGGACTAGACTTGACTTCTCAAGGGGCCTTCCGGCAGTAGAATTCTATGAGCCTGTACCAGCTTAGTTAGCAGTGTGTCTAGCAGGCCTTAGGCTGCACACTTTGGGGCTCATGGGATGTGTTGTTAAGTGTCATGTATAACATGGTTATTCATAAATCATTTATTTTCTTAAAAATGGACGGGACTGAGCTATACCACAAGGAAATCAATTAGTCTTTTATGAAGAACAATTCCATTCTTTGTTCCGGGGAAAACATGCCCATTGGGTGGGGTGTGAAAGACCTCACTTCTATTCCTTCTTCTGCTTGTGGATGATTTTGGGCAAGTCAATTCCCTGACCCATGCCTCAGTTTCCCTATTGATCCATCTGGGATTATGATCCCCTACCACTTTACGAAGTTCTTTGAGATCAATGGATGAAAATTGCAGAGTGTCATTAGAAAGTGCTGTGGGGAGTTAGGCTTGGTCATAAACAATAAAGTTCTGTGCCGAAGTTTTTGCACAATTTTTTTTTTATTTCTCAGAATTTTTCAATGAAACAAAATCAGAAGCAAAACTCTCATGTGTTTCCCGACTTTCCCCCTTTTTCAGCCTTATCCGGGGTGGGGAGGAAAGGAAAAAATTCACACACATCCCAAAAAATGCAGCTGCACCAGACACATAAGATTTGAGGAAATGAAACGACGTTCTGTTTTCATTTTTGCTCTCTTTTGTCAAAGAATTACAGTTAGAAGGGAAGGTTTCTTGAGGGGGGATTTTGCACTGCTTCTAGGGTGCACCAGAAATGTAGGTTTTACTTCTAAGCACCAGAGGGCGCTGTAGACCTGGGCACTGGTGGGATGTTTACACTGCACCCTTGGGATACACCTCCAGTGCAGCACGGGGCTTGTGGCAGTGAGTCATACAATCATAGAAATCCTAGGGCTGGAAGAGACCTCAGGAGTCATTGAGTCCAGCCCCCTGCCCAAAGCAGGACCAACCCAACTCAACCATCCCAGCCAGGGCTTTGTCAAGCCAGGCCTTAAAAACCTCTAGGGATGGAGATTCCACCATCTCCCTAAGGAACCCATCCCAGTACTTCCCTACCCTCCTAGGGACACAGCTTTTCCATCCAACCTAGACCTCCCCCACTGCAACTTGAGACCATTGCTCCTTGTTCTGCCATCTGCCACCACTGAGAACAGCCTCTCTCCATCCTCTTTAGAACCTCCCTTCAGGTAGCTGAAGGCTGCTCTCAAATCCCCCCTCATTCTTCTCTTGTGAAGACTACACAAGCCCAAATCCCTCAGCCCCCTCATAAGTCATGTGAGTCCCAGAGACCAGGTCCATCTCCGGTTTGCGCTGTGTGTAGTATAGCAGATAGTGCTACTTGGGCTTGTAATCCCACGGGACGCCAATGGGAGTTGGACACCTAAATACCTCATAGGATATGTCTACACTAGGAAATTATTTTGAAATAATAACTCCCGAAATAATAATTTCAAACTAGCGAGTCCACACTCCGGGGAAGCCTTGAAATGAGTCCGAGGCAGGCTCCGTTAATGTGGACGCACTACCTCGACTTAGAGCCCCAGGAAACACGGGGGAGTAACG